TGGGATTGTATTTCACTTCGTATTTGGTCTCCAATTCGTGTAACTCTTTGTAGAATAGGCTCTGAATCTTGATTTTCTCCATTTCTAAGTTCTTCAGCGCCTTCACCCGTCTCTTGACAACCGTCGGAAGTGTGTCGTAATAGCCAGACGGCAGGCCTACCATTCCCGCCAACTTCGACTGCATGGCCGCCAACACTTCCGGATTGTTCATCACTTGTGCGGTCAGAGCGCCCACTAAGACATCACACAAACGGATACCGGTTAATGACATTCACAGCAAACACGAGACAATCATCCAATGGATCCAATGGATACATACATTGCTTTTCGTCCAGATCTCCAGACTCGACATCAATGGCAGCCGTGTTCTCCACGATTTGGCCCCTAATTCACACAATTTCCACAGTTTTAGACATTTGTTTGCAAACAAAAAACTTTTGTCTTCAGTACTCACTTTGAATTGTCTGCCATTTGGATGTGATTTAAGTAATAATTTAAAAACAAAGGACTAAATGAATGACTAAAAGGACTGTAAATGAAAGACACAAAACAATGAGATATTGGTATCAATTCGCAGATCCTATGAATGAATGGTAAGTTTGGTAGGAATGGCGCCAATGAGACAACACGTGAGACACTAATCGCCGACAAGAGTGCGGCAAAAGAGTGGACTGCAGTCTTGTCATNGCGCCAATGAGACAACACGTGAGACACTAATCGCCGACAAGAGTGCGGCAAAAGAGTGGACTGCAGTCTTGTCATGCAATGAATGGATTCGTAAATAATGGCAAATGAGTGGTGAATGCAATGAATGGAAATGAAATGACAAAAGAGTTGTGAAATGAAGTGATAATTGAGTGAAAAGAGGGAATACCTGAGCAGTGAATGCAATGAACGCACGGAACGATTGAAACAAATGCACAACAATTGTGTGAAACGGAAACCGGATATCACTTCACCTGATGTTCATTCCTTCCCAATACATCAATCACGTCCACTAAATGGCCAACAAATGTCAATGCATTCAATGATTCAATGCATTGAACAAAGTTTTGAGTCCAAGTTTTCACTCTAAGTTAGAGTCTCTAACAGTAAAACATTGAATCAACAACTCATTGAAGCCCGACTTGAGAATATGACCATGATCATTGATCATTGATCAGTCATGTTGCAGTATGATACGCAAGTAATGTGCTGTTATAGTACTAGAGTTGATTGTACAGTATGTCTGAGTATGTCTGGAGTCAAGTTTTGTGTGTCAATTGGATTGAAGTTTCATTTGAACACAAACTCTATGACAGAGTCTTTATTCTGTCTATTCTTGTGATACACACTCTATTATGCAGTCATAGGTTCTCTCTCTCTCTCTCTCTCTCTCTCT